TTCACTGCAATTACTGTATAAATAGCAACCGTTTAAAGAGGAGGAGTTTGAAAGTCTTGTCTTCAGACAACTCTATCAAGTGATCCATGAAATAAGTGCAAAGACGGACTCCATTGTAACGGAACTGCGGATCAACGATTGCCTGCGAGTGTCATAATAATGACAATTAGTGTCATAATAATGACAATTAATGCTTAAATCTCATCAATTATAACCCAAATGAATACCTGATCGACAATAATGTTGACAATGGTTACGAGGACCTCGTCGTCCTCGTCGATGTAACTGTTGATTAGTTCAGTCAAGTAAGCGATTCCTGAGTCATATTTATTCGGTTTAATAGTAATCGTATCGATAAATTCCCTCAAATAAGTGCACGCAATGAAGTCATCGAAGTCTCTGTCCACTGGATCCACACGACCGGGATTGGCGTTCCAGCCGTTGGACACGGATGGGGCCTGAGGGTAACTCATCGTCGTTCGCGGTATGAATTCTTTGGCAAAAGGAGATAACTTGCTGTCCGGTGGGCCCATCATTGAACCGCTGGAAACACTCTGAGAGGACTGTCCTTTGGGTTCTGTTATTAATAGATAAACAAATAAATTATGCAATCATTCAAATCGTTTCAAATGTAATCTCTGTATTGGAGTCAATTCACATGCAATCATCTCTAAAGTCAATAATTGTTTACTACTTAAAGGCAATACAGTTGTAGTACTTCTAAATCGTAAATCTAATGGATTTACACAATAATCCATGGGGTACTGTATGGTATGGATTACATTTGTATCAGTAAGTCGTTCACTGATAAGAAGCAAAGATAAAAGTTTTGTGACAAGAGTTTCACAAACACTACAAAGACTACTCTTATGTGACATATTGTCCGCAAACATGCAGTCAGTCGGTCATCACATCCATAAAGTGATCTCTAATGTCAAACAATAGGCATATGAAAGAGTGGACCAAAACCTGAGGCAATCCACGAGTTGTTGCTGAGATCTCCTGCGCCGCCAATACTGTTGTAATTGTTTTTATCGTTCACTCCAAACGACAATAAATTGGTTTGTTTTGTGAGTTCACTGATCGAGTCGTTGTACGAAGTGTTCGGTCGTCTCATCTGTGTCTCCTGAGGCGGTGAGTTGTAATGAGTTCTGTGTTGAGGCGGCATATGGTCTGTCAGGTAGTGCGAGGATGGCGGTCGCACTCTAGCCGTCGACTCAGCGCTCATTTGTGCCATTTGTTGCCCATTATGTCCGCCATTCGCCGCTAAATCATTGAACGAATCCATCGGTGTGAACAAGACACTAACTGTTCAGTCAAAGGGAAACCAATTTGTCTGATTTGGGCACTAATTAACTGAAACTTGATTTGACAAAACAATTACTAAAAAGTGTAAAACACATGAATGACTGACAAATTGGTTCAACACTTACCCAAAAAGACTAAAAATGAGATTTAGTTAAGAAATTTGAGCCAATAATTAGTTGAAAACAAACGAAAACAATGAAAGTAATGGTGATTTCGGGAGACAATCAGTAATGATGTTGACGCAAAGTAATAGCAATTAAAAAGCAGTTTTCAAACAATTGCGAACAATGAATGAAGAAATGAATTAATGAATTAAGAAGTGATTGTTTTGTTGTTCATTCACTCAATGGTCACATGAAGTGAATTGAATTCATTGTATGATTGAGTAATCGATTGATTAGTGTTCACACAAACAGTCTGTCAGACAAACAACACTTCAAGGCTCACAATGACTTCAACTTTCCACTCATACATTACGTTACCAAACGTCACGGCATTTATGCGTAATCGCAGAACCCCTGGCAAACTTTGCTGTCATTTACAGTCTGTACAAGTTGTACCCTGATCAACTTAACAATTTAATTGGTTTCCAATTAAGGCCTCAATTTATTTTGATTGATACATTAAAATAATTGCTATTTTGTTGTAAATATATTTATAAATTAAAACAATTTACTCTCAATCAAAACCAAAAACTCAATTATAATATAAAACTTTGTAGTAATTCTGGTATTAATATAAATAAAAGTATCGCTTATTTCACTAAAATATGAAACAATAATTCCATAACGAGTTGGTCTTCAATGCCGGTCGAGATGTTGTCCATAATGACAGGTATGAGTGCGCCGTCCAATTCAGTGCTGTATTGGGGCGGTAGAGACGTGCCATTGCTTCCCACTTCGTATCCTACCTGTAGTTCATAGAGTCAATCAATTCAATGAATGCATTCACAAGTCAGTAATCACTGAATCAAAGCATTACTTTATCGGAATCCAAATTAATTCTTAAACCGATTTTAGTGCACCCGCTGTCAAACAACTGATCCAAACACGAAATCAATGCCAAACAAAATGCTTGAGATATCATTTCGGCTAATCTACTCGAGTCTAACGAATCATTCCTTCATTGGATTCAATACAAGTGTTAGAAATAATTATCTGCAACCAAATGGTCAATACCTCCGACTGTTTTCATTGACGTGAAGAAAAAACACTTCTGTCCATCGGATCACAAACTTATTGTTTGTATAATCGGTTCCGTTGTATATTCGTATGCTTTGAATTCCCTCCAAATTTGTAGCGTCAATAGGACTTCGGACGCTATTTGACAGTCGATTGAAATTAAAATTCTAAAACAAATGCTAATAAGAGAGTAACAAACCCGAGATTGACAGTCATGTCCTCTTCAGCCCACGACATATGTATCACCTCTTCTGGCAGTGAATCAATTTTACCACATTTGATGTCATAGTCTTTCATGTCTTTAATAGAATTCCTCAATTGAGTCATTGTGTTGGGAGGGATCTGAACGAGCAGTCCGTCCTCAACGATAGACATTTTGGCAGTGAGTCCAGTGCTCGACTTGAGGGCTCCACTGAATACAATAAAACTGGCGCCCGTTGTCTTACGCACAGCCCCTTCGATGTTAATGGACTGGGTTTGGTACTGTCCGTCCACATCGTTTTGCATGCAAACCAAATGCGAGTCCGCTTTAAGGCTAAAGTTGGCGCCGAAAGCCAATACGTGTTCGTTGCTGTTTGTCACCACTTTCTGCACCTTTTCATAACGATTTCGTGGCAAATGAACTGTTATTTTCTTGTCTTCCAAATGAATGGTAAGTCCAGAAACAGTTGGAAGAGTGTACTGAAAGTTTCGAAAATCCTAAAACATATTCATTGAGTGGTTTACATATACGGTACTGTACAAGTTTAAAGCAACTCATATTCTATGCACTTACAGCCAAAACATTCATAATCGTGTGCCCGATTTCGCAATACACAGGCTTACGGCACCGGTAGCTCACTATAGGACTCGGGTAGTCTACCGTACATGAAAAATGAACAGTGTGTTGCTAATTATGATTACACTAATTTGAAAAGCAAATAACTTACATTTATATTCTGCTCCCAAACGTAGTAATAATCTGATGGGAAAGACCTTCGCCCACGGAATCTCCCATTTGTGTATAAGTATAGCCAATAGGAAAGGGGGTGACGGCAGCACTAAATTACTAAAGCACTGGAGGGTCGGGCGCGCAAATAGGAACCCACTGTTGTCTTTGTGGCCAAACAGTCCGTCCGGAAAGAATAGATGACTCAAATCAGTGAAAGCAGAGCCTAATTAACGGGGTTTTCATAATTAATCATCAATTTTAACAATCAGTTACCAGTAATGCATGCCTTTAGTGGCGCTGTCGTAAACAGTTGTGAATAACCGGAATATATCTCTGGGAAAGGTATCTTCTTCTGGTAGACGTTCTAAAGTGACGAGAATCTCGTCCTGACCTATAGTGGCCATACCTTTCGAGGCAAAAGTCCACACCTCACTCTTTACGCAACAATTCTCTAAAATTTCTTACAATAAGTAAATTCAAGTTTAATTCAAAGTATTGAAGACTTACTTAAAACGATTTTTGAGTAAATGTGAAGATTTTTAGTCAAAGCAAACACGACTGGACACAAGTCCTTGTTTTTCAAGAATTCAATCAGATTCAGAATCGTTGGCTTATTTTTAACAGATTTATTAACATTTAAATCATAATAATTGATGATTGGAGGCAAAGTGCCGTTTGCATCGGTTATCACAATACGACTGGCCTTAGATTTGGCAGAAGTGGTAGGGATTTGAACTGCAGGTACGTTCTCAACGGGGGGTGACTTTAGTTTGTGTTGTATTCTTCCGGTGCGCCGCAAGAATGTTAAACTGCTTGTGCCCTCACCACTGGTTTCAGTCAGGTCTCCACCGGGACGTATGCCGTCAGAAAAGACCACTTGTTTGGGCTCTCCTTTAGGCCGATCGCCTCTCTTGAGAACGCCGACGGGAACCATAACAGTGGGCGGCATTCGGTTCATGAGATCCTGTTCCTGTTCTAATGGGGAGACTGTTGAACAATACTCCGACGGATTGTTGGGATCAGGACTTCTCATGTTAGAGGCAGAGGACGGTCCAGAAGCCGAATTGGGATACAGATTATCAGGTCTTAAAGTGGAAGGACTCGATTGGTTCATATCGTTTGCATTTCTCTCAATTGCAGCGACTGTTCATCAATTCATAAATGACTTATAAATAAATATCGATTCAATTTCATACACACTCTTACTTCGAGCTAATGTTGAATAGCAGACGTGACAAACTCTGGCCACTTCGCCGTCCAAATACACTAGTTTTGCTCTACAATTACAGCACTGGGAACACAACACTTTGCCGCACGCCCTGACACACACACATACAAAACACAATACAGTGTCACAAATGGATTCATAATAACATTTGAATGAATAGAAAATAAGACAATACCTGCAATGATGTCTCCTCTTAATGAGATTAAATCTGATGTCGCAATGCATACACATCTGTGTCTCATTATCGGGAATCCAAAAGGGCTTCACTTTTCCTAACATCTGCTCGTCTTCACTCAATCCAAGTGCTAAGTCTTCGGCCAAACCCTCAGATATTTCTCCATTCAGATCAAGAGTTAAGTTCTGTTCACTAATCTCTCCGTTTGGTACACCGTTTTGTATTAAATCCTCATCATTTGGCACATTATTATTATTATTAGTCTCATTGTTATTATTGTCGTTATTATTCTCATCATTTATCTGATCCACAGAGTTATCAATAAGCTCTTCATTAGCCGCAACACTCATCACATTTATCGCATTGGAAGCGATCGGCAGAGTATTCGGTCGGTTATGCCGCGAAGGAATGTCTTCTTCTATTTCCGGAATACTTTCGTTTTGATTATCAATGCAATTGTTGTGATTTTGTTGGATTTGTGTGAAAGTATTATTTTGATGGTTAGTTTGATGGTTAGTTTGATGGTTAGTTTGATGGCTCACATCGAAGTCCGATATATCACTAATTTTATCGTTATCTTCAATGGAAACACTGGACGTCGACTGACTCATGGAGTTTATGTCCCTATCAGTTGTATTCAAAAAGTCATTATTTGTTGGATCACTGTTTGCTTCGATGTTTATATTGGACACATTGGTTCCAATTTCATCTGCACTGATATTAGAGACAATCACTTCATTGCCATCACAATAATTGTCATCGAATTCACTTAAATATTCATTAATCTCTTGTTCAGTCAACTCATCGATGTTGACTTCAATTTCATTGAATTTCATAACATTTAATGAATTGTCGATATTGTTTGTGATTGAATCCGATTCCCATTTGTCATCATTTATCACATTCTCTTCAGACATCACATCCGTTTGACACTCGGTTTCCAATTCAATCTCTTCAGACGGTTCTTCACTTAACTCATTCACAACTTCTGACTCAATGTTCTCATTATCTATAAGATCTTGCATTACCGGTACCTCTTCAGTCACCACAGAATCCGATTCATTAATATTCTCTTCCAATTCGTTCAGATCTAAGCAATTATTTTGTGAAACATTTTCAATCAAATGTGTCATATTGTCATCAAATGGTAATTGTGTTGAATTGGAGGGCAATATCATTATATCGATCTGTTGTTCAATGTTATCGTTTGACATCAATTCAGAGTCCATTAGATTCGTGTTATCATTGGTATCACTCTTTTGGTCGATCGACACATAAAGCACTTCATCGGAAACCTCTTCATCGCTGGAAGTGGTGTCGTATTCAGTCATCTGTGGTGTCACTCCTTCTGTATTCCACTTCGCCTTCTCTAACAGCGAAGCAATCAATCGATTCTTTTCGACGGATTCCTTGAGACCATTGTCTGCACCATAAGTAGTCCTTCCGTTCTTTAGATCTAAGGCTCCGTTACTCTCGCTATCCATCCGTTTGACACTAATTCCGAAGTCCGCTTCAGACGAGTCCAACGACTCCAGAGTATGGCTCTCCATATAAGACGATAATAAATGCCTTTTGTATGACGTGTTGGGCGCCGAAGATGTGGAGCACGCGATGGCGTCGGCGGCCGAGCGGACAGTCGTGTCGTCGGCGTAGGTCTGAAGCGAAGAGAAGTTAGTCTTATTGTAGCCGAAAGTGTTGTCACTCGCGATCTTCACCAGCGATGGCGGATGTCCTCTCACTTCCGTCGAGTCTGTCAACACAATCACCATTACATTGGATACCATATTAAGACAATCAATGGTGACATACCTTCAGTCTCTTCGAGTTCATCGAGAATACTGTCCAAATCAATGGCAAATTTATCCATTTTTAGCCTAATTTACTGCAAATTGAATGCAAAGTCTAATCTCTGATCAGATGATCACTCAAATGAAAATTGTGGCAAAAATGAGTTCATCTGAAGACACATTGAATTTGTTGTGAATATGTTATGAATATATGAATTGAATTGAAATTATAATCAATTGTTTGATGGCTTTAATTCACATCAAATTCAATCAATTGTTGACATATTATGTCATCTCATATACAGTGAAAGCCATTCATTGATACAGCGATGCATTCAATGCACGGCTAATGCAACCAAACATATGATTGAAAACAGTATTCACTGTACGATAGGTGTCTACTCGACCACAATGTATGAAGTAATCATTAATACATATTTTATGACCCCTTTGTATGACTCATTCAATTCAATGACAAATCATTTATTCGTTTCAATGAAATGCACTCAAAATTACTCCCAATTAAAGACACGTTATATATGAACACAAAGTTTACAGTATTTTTCTGTTTTGTTTTCAGTCTTATTTGGGATCAGTTTGAAGACAATTGAGCTGAAGATATGAACAATAGTCTGATTCCCGAAGTTCTGGAGAGCAAACGAGTGGCCTATGAGTGCACGTGTGGTTCCCTTCAGTCCATTCATCGCATATACTTCTGCCGCCACTGCCATCAACTCAGATGTCGGGACTGTGTCTCGCATGAGGTGACCAACACATCACCCATTGATTCCTGTATACAGTGGTTAACAAAACATTTTATGATTGATTCTTAGGTGGACTCCCAGTACTGTCAACACTGTCTCGAATACATCCCATCCATTGACGCCAAACTCAAGAAGAATAAGTAGTGATAATAATGATGACGTGAATGCAATGTTGTGTCTAATGGTGTGTCTAATGGTGTGGTGTTTGTCCCCCAATAGGTGCGCCTCTTGTTTCCAGTGTCCCTCTTGTATGCATACATTGACCACAAGAGCGATCATCACTCAGACTCCGAACCCTTTGGATGCCACACAAACTCAGCCCAAGAAAGTGTTTTTCCTGATCTGCTATTACTGTCGCTGGTCTTCCAGAGATATCGGAATCCCTGACCAATCAGTGGGTCTGTTGTTACTACTGTTGATAATACCTAAAAGACAATGTCATGAATGTCTGTATTGTGTGATAGCGTCTGGAAATTGGCCCGAATTGGAGACACCGAACGCCAAACGACTGGACGCTCTGTTGGATCGCTACAGACTGTTAGCCCAGAGGGAGAAGTTGGACAAAGAGAAGAAGAGGATTAGTCCGCGCTCTGCAATCATATTGCTTGACAAATACGGCATCACTCCCTCCCTCTCCCCTAAAGTGACCGCCACTTTGAGGGCCAAGATGGCTAAAAGCAGTTCCGGTTTCTCATTGTCTGATCTCAAGTCTCCGACAGAAATTAATGACTTTGAGAGCTCTGTGGCCACCGATGAGATCGAACCGCTCGATATCAGTGCCTATTATAACGCCTCACAGGACACAGATTTAGGCCGCACGTCATCACTTAGACAGCGTCTAATGCAAGTGGAGTCTCAGCCCAACGACTCCTCCCGTTTATACCCCGTCTCGCAAATGCTTTTAGTGAAGCACTCGTTGCGATGCAAGCAATGCGATCACAACTTAAGTAAACCTGAATACAACCCGTCGTCCATTAAGTTTAAGATACAACTCAGCGCTTAGTTAGTCCGCTCTCAACTCAACTCTCTTCACAAGTTTCTAATCACTCTCTTCTTCCTCCAGTTATCACATCCCAGAGCTTCGAATCAAAGCCATCCCTCAGCTAAAGAGGGGACAAGATTTTAGGCTTGAGATGACTCTACAAAACCCAACTCCTTATGCACTTCACGTCACTATCTTTGATTTGGCCGAGAATTCCGATGAGAGCGCAGCCATTCAAGTGCCAGACTTTGTGATGGGTTTGTCGCCTAAAGACGACACCGCGGACTTAGACATCGACCAGAACTTGAAGTCCCAGTTCAACGACGATAAGAAGTATTGAATCGATTTTGTGTAATATTGTCACAATAATTTGCTAATGGATTTGAATTTTGTGTTTCAGTTTTATTACGTTCCGAAAGGGAAACAAATTAGGATTTTACATAAATGTGTGTCCATTAAAGTCAGGCGAATGTCGGTTCAAGATTGGCATGAAACACGACTTCGTGAACACAGTTATACAGTCCTCTAACAGCGGCACTGATAGACAGCCACAGATCTCATGGATTACACATAAGATTTGGATCAATTTGGGAGACGTTTCCGATTGACTCCATACAAAGTGACAATTAATGGCAAACAAAGTGACAATTAATGGCAAACAACGGATCAATCAATTGATATACAAACCGAAGACATGTCAATAAGTGTTGAATCAAATGTAAGATTAGTTTTGAAATGAAAGCATGAAACACGACTTCGTGAACACAGTTATACAGTCCTCTAACAGCGGCACTGATAGACAGCCACAGATCTCATGGATTACACATAAGATTTGGATCAATTTGGGAGACGTTTCCGATTGACTCCAATAATGCAATTATTTGAACACTAATTGAAGAAATATCTACACTTTATAACTTACAGTATCTCAAAGCCTTTCACTTATATTTTCATAAACCGTTCATTAAATTATTTTAGACTATATTTCTAATAATAATAATAAACTATTATAATTATTGTAATTTAAAAATACTGTAAATTACGGTAATATTGATTTGAATTTTTATTAAAAATTAAAACAATGACACAATTATTGTATGAAATGATTAGAAATTTATAAGAACTCTATTCGTGTTGAATGAATGGATTGGGAATGGATTCCATGCCATCGACCGGACAGATGACCACAACAGCAGTTCCTCTGCAGACCACAAGACCCAGAGTTCTGGTGTCGTCCGTCAGCTTATAGGGATCGTCCGGATCTGTATTGCCATTGGTTTAGATGATTGTCACCAGAATTCAAGTCATTTCACTCACCCCTCAATAGTTCAATAGTATTATCCAAAACCAGATTCAGTAAGGGATCAAATCCTTTAAGAATACCACTCGCTGTGAGACAATTAGACATTAGACAAGGGATCTAGTGGTGGTGTGCTTAGGGAGGCCTACCTTCCCGTCCGCCCTGAAACTTGACGCGAATGGCTTTGTCTAAGTATTTGCCCAAATCAACGATACTCTCCTTCTTCTTCTTCTCCTGAGGTCCGCCCGAAGCCGTCCCTCCCGAAGATCGCTCCACACCTCCCGTCCCACTGCCGGCGCCCGCACTCCCAGTCTATACGGCCACACAAAGTGACAATTAATGGCAAACAAAGTGACGATTAATGGCAAACAACGGATCAATCAATTGATATACAAACCGAAGACATGTCAATAAGTGTTGAATCAAATGTAAGATTAGTTTTGAATGAAAATGTTTTGTAAAACACTTTCAAAACGCAAACGAAATTCAATTTAAAGATTGAAAACAGGATTCAAAACAATCAACGTTTCGATTTCAATGTGTTTTCAACACAATTTGCATTTCGTTTAGAAAAGTGCTTACATTTCACATTTGATCGCTCTCTTAGTGTGAGACCCCTTATGACATGTCGTCACTTCACTGTATAACATGAATACGCATTAGTTTTGCATACGATTGCGTTGGATGTGATTCAGTGGAAACAAATGAACAGAATTGTGAGATTAGGTGTGAATCGACACTGAAATACAAACACATATTTTCAATGCAATCGTAGCACTGGTTTTGACAACATTTATGTGAAAAACATTTGTTTTTGTTTTTACTCAGAAAACAGTGTTTCATTGAATCAGTCATTGATTTGTGGTTTCATTTAAACGACAATTCAATGAATGTTTGAATTATTTGTGAAATACTTTTGAAATTCGTTTCGAAACCAAAGAAAACAATGAGTGAGTCGTCGACCAGCTCTTCGGCCAACTCTTCAGATGACGAGCAGTTCTACGACGCCATCAACGATGAAGAGGTGATCCGATGCGACGCCAATCACCACAACAAAGACACCACAGCTTTGAATGTCAACAAAATGAGTGAATCCGTGGCCTCGGGATCGGTGCAGATGGCAGACAGCGGTCTCTTCTCATCCCAATCGAGTGATGCCAACGATTTAGTGCCGGATGTGATCACCGAAACAGTTCCCGATGTGGTCCCCAAACTGAACAAATGTGTCACTTCTCAGAAGACGTCGGAACTGATTGTTGGCGTGAATGCAGTGAATGATAGCGAAGACAAGTCATCGACAGTGCCAACGATAGCGCAGCCAAAGCCTCCTCCGAGGGCTCGCAAAAAGAAATTACAAAACAATTTCAATGAAAAGACAAACAACGCGTCCGTCGACGAGACGATCGCTCCTAATGTGGGACCAAATGGTGCGGCGATTGCATCGACTGAACCACGAGACCATTGGCCGCAAAGCACGGATGCATCGCGTCTGCAGACACCGACCACTTCTTACGGCCATTCGTCGACTCTGTCGAGTATTTTGGATGATATCGTTAGCATTAAAGGAGATCTCAGTCTAAACGAAGCATTTCTGTCGACAATCGGTGACCGCAGAAGTGTTTACGTCGAGGAGTTGCCGAAACTCAGTAAAGAACTGGTCCTCAAGTCGGATGACTTGACGGCATCGATGGCACAAATGGCAAAGTCGTTGAAAGAGCCTAAAGAACAAGAAGTACTGAATCAGATAATGATTCTGAATATCGATACGGGAGAGAGAGTGCCGTTGAGTAAAGCCGAAGAAATACTTCCCAAATGTTTGAATCCTTTGAGTTTGCATTTAATGAAACTGACGAACGATTTCTGTGAGGGAGACGTCTGTTCCATAGCCTCGGGAATGACAGCTCAGGAGAACCTCATGAGAGACAGTGCTTTCGATGACGAGGACGACGACGACGACCGCAATGAAAGCGTCTCCGGAAGAGACAAACTCAGGAAAGGGATGAAAATTTTGCGCAAAAAGTCTGGAAGTCTTTGGAAAGGAGTGAAAGGTGTGAAGAGTGGCGGCAAAGAGAGGTCTACTTTTCATGTGGACCTGAAAACACCGCACATGGAGGCCGAGCCTCTGCCTCGATATAAGATCAAAGTAAACCACAAGAGGGGAACTCCTGATTTCGATGGCCTTAAACTACTACAGGAGTTGTATGACTGCAAGGGAGCCATTTGGGTCATGAAGTTCAGTGTCTGCGGACAACTGCTGGCAGCCGCCGGACAGGACCACCTCCTGAGGGTCTACTGTTCGCAGAAGTCGTGGAAATACTTCACTCAACTGCGAAACAAGGCGTCCGGACAACACGTGTCCCCCAATTCGACTAACGAGAGGGACACCAACGGGTCGTTTGGACGCTCGACTTCATTGCCGAGGAGTTTAAGTGTTTCGAGTTCTGAGAACTTGAAGTTCGAGTCTTCGGTGTCCAGTAGTGTCGCCAATCATATCCTCTTTGAGGACAACACACTCAGCGAAGAGGGACCTATGCTTCTGTTCAGTGCATATCGCGGTCACACCGCAGACGTGTTGGACATCGCGTGGTCTAAGAATCACTTCCTGTTGTCGTCATCGATGGACAAGACTGTGAGGCTGTGGCACATCACACGCATCGAGTGTTTGTGTACTTTCCGTCACATCGATTTCGTGACAACCATTCAGTTCCATCCCAGGGATGACCGCTATTTCCTGAGCGGTTCACTGGACGGGAAGTTGCGTTTGTGGAACATTCCCGACAAGAGGGTCACCCTCTGGAACGAAGTGATGGCTCTGCCGACACAACAGTCGCGCAGTACTGGCACTCAAGAGTCAGTGCCGGCTCACGGACTGATCACTTCGTCGTCTTTTGTGCAAAATGGGAAGTTCGCAGTCATTGGCACCTATGACGGCAGGATTATCTTCTACTCGACGGATCAACTCAAGTATTTCACACAAATCCATGTGAGTGGCAGTGGAAAGAACAACAGCTCTGCGCAGATATCTAACGCCAACAGCGGCAGTGACCGCCGGCGCCGACGCAATAACAATAAGGTTACGGGTATTGAAGGGGTGGACGACAACAAAATTCTGGTCACAACTAATGACTCGCGACTCAGACTCTATGACTTGAGGGATCTCTCGCTTACCTGTAAATACAGGGGTGTTGTGAACGAGTCGAGTCAGATCAAGGCCTCCACCTCTCACGACAGCAAATATATAATCTGCGGCTCAGAAAACGCCTCTTTCTATATATGGAGGCTTCAGGACAACACCACTATTGGTCAGCGCCGGGACCGCAACAAGCAATACGAGGCCATACGCCTACTGCCGCCACAACCCACCCATTCGATGGCCGACTCCATGCAAATGGCGAGTCCGCCACCGATGACCACTAAGATCGTCACTTCGGCCATCTTTGCTCCCGTTCCCCAACAGATCGACGAAAAGGCTAAATATATTATAGCCGTCGCCGACTTCAACGGCAATATTCGCATATTTTCCAAATGAACTCCAATTCAATTGATTTATATATTTGTATTAAATATAATTTTTATATTTTTATTTCTATTTGTGTTTTGCTTTCCTTTAATTTTATAACAGAGTTCTAACCGATAGACAAAAACTAATAATAATGTTTCGAAACAAATATTGTTTATATTTTTACGATTATTTTATATTCAGTTGATTCAGTGATTCGTGAGAAAGATTTACTCAAATTGTAATGTAATCCAGATTTCAATGTTTTATTTATATTCAAGATTTACCACATTTGGACAAAACTCTAAATACTGTATATTTACTTATTTTTACAAATTAGGCTCAAATTAAATAAAAATAATTTTTCAAAGTATTTATAATTTATATAATGATTTTTAATCTTATTTATAATATGTATACATATATACTGTGTATTATATATATAATATTAATATAGATATTTATATAATTAGGTTATTCACAAAATTCAAATCAATTACAATATAATACAAATTATATTTACATTAAATTAGATTTCGTTACAAAAAACAATAACTTCTTATAAGTGATTTATTCAACGGTTAATAACTTTAAACTAAATGAGAAAATATTTGTCACAACATAATAACGATATGAATATATCGACAATAATTACCAATTGAAACAAATATTCACACAATAAGACTAACAAACAATTCTGCGATTTGTATGCAAATATAAAATTTGTCGAAATTAAGTAAACAATTAAATTAATAATTTGGAGTTTAGTTTCACGCAAAACAAGTCATTTAAAAATACAGTATTTTTATCAAATTGACAGCAAATAGAAAATAATGCAATAATTTTGCGAATAAATCTCTAAATCAGAATTTGGTCACTCAGTTAGCGTTGGGAACCGGTCTCTCATTATTGTTTAACTAAAATAAACTTTTATCAAACTTTTCCATCAAAACTCTAATCAAAGTAAAACTGTTTTACTCGACAAATGTAAAGAACAGAAAAACAAATTTAAATTTCATTACAAAAATTAAATTAAGTCTTAAAAAGTATGCAAAATTAATTTAACAATAAATAATCAAAGAGTGAGTATAACTTTAAAACTTAAAATTATTCACAGAATTGATAAAAATGATAAATACAAATGGATTTATAAAAAGGGATTAAATTAGCGAATGAGTCAATGATTGGAAATTAGAGACAAATGAATGAATGAAATATAATTATTGACCGATAGGTTGACAAATGAATTGACTGTCAAAGGGATAATGAATTGAGAGGTGCTGTCAATGTATGAGAGAGTGTTTGAAACCTAACGCCTGATGTCTTCGCATATCGATGTCGTTCTTGGCGGAGGCCATGAGTGCCTCCTCGTCCACACTGTTGTGATGGGCGCGGGTTCTCAACAAACTGTTGTTATTATTATTATTGTTTTTATTGCTATAAAAGCCATTGTTTTTGCCTCGAGTTATGTACTGTTCTCTCTGTGATTGACTGCTATTATTAGTGCTATTAATATTATAATAAGAAAGGTCCTGGTTCGATTCAGACAATTGGTTTGTTTGTCTACAAGTAATCGCAAATAAATCAATGAATAAATAATTGATATTCAAAAGTATTGTCTCATAAAAACTCACAATTTGTTGGCATTTTTAGGAGATTTCGAGTTGGGACTGAACTCAGTGTCTAATCGACGCTTAAGTTTTTCAATTGTTTCGTCGATTTCTTTGTTTAGATATAAATATCATTAAAAACAATCATTTCTTAAAATAATTGCATAATCGATAAAATGATTGAATACCGAAAGAGAACTCCTGTTTTTTCTTTGGTATCTTATATCCACTCAAAGAAGTTCGCGTCAGCACTGGTACTAATGAGGGCAAGGGTTTGTCCTCTTTGTTGCAATCGATTACATTGGAAGGAGACATGTATTTACTGTTAGGCTTTAGGAGAGATCGCGGAGACTGTCTGTAATTCAATGAGGATTTCCTGTCGGGCGACGGCATCTTAACTAATGAACTCTCGGAGCTGTCGTGCAAACCATTCACTGGCACTGAATTGTACTTAATTTGGTGTTTGGGTGACGACAAGCCGTTCACTGGTTTATCGGTTTTAGTCTTATTTATTAAACCATTTAATGGATTAATGGATGTGTTTGTGGTAACCGTTTGCGGGACTCCATTGACTGGTTGTCCACCGGTGGGTGAGTCTGGTTTGCGTTTGTATTGCGATATATAGAACTTGGCGTAAGGATTGGGTTTATGTCTTTGCACGCAATCTACTTTAGACAGTCTTCTCAGTTGTCTCACTATACTATTGGTTTTGTTTTTATTCTCCTCTTCCGTATAACTATATATAACACTATTGTTAACGATATCACAAATAAGTCGGGAGGCGTCGTATGACAGATACGACGGCACACTCTTGGCCGGGGATTCGCTGCTTGTCTCGACTCCTAATTGAATGCAAGTCGCAAATAATGCTTATTATAACACAATCACCAATCAATCACTTAAATGCATGCAATTCACGATTCGTTTATTATATACAGTATATACCGGTAATGATAACTATTTTGGTTTCATTTATAATACGAGTAAATAAATTGATAAAATACAATAATTGCGAACAATATAAATAAATATAAAAATGACAATCAATTGGCGAGAAAATAAAATCACTATTTGTTTGTGTAATAAATAAATAAATAAAAGTAATAATAAAGACTACAAACGTTTAGATCGCTTACCCGTGAAGGAAGAGATGCCTTTCTCGACAGTGTTTTGATGAGAGGAAAGCCAATTGCGTTTGACTTTCTCGCGCCGGCATATCATATAACTTAAGTTCCGGATTCTCTCCAAATCGACTCTTAGGCGGAGGATCTCATTCCTCTGCTGTTGCTGTTGTTCCTGGAATTGTGCCGAAGACGTCAACTTTATAAGGGATGCGCCGTAATTGGAGGTGCGCTTCAGTTTCCAGTACTGGACGATGAAGTCCAGGAAATTGAAACTTTTGCTCAAACTATAGCTCGCATTCAGTCGAATCAGCTGTTCGTCCAGACATTCAACACATTTGTTAGCATTTCATTAGCAATAATACCGGTATATGAATGAAATCATTGCTCACCTCTTGTTGTACTTTATTTATATCAATATATTTCCAAAAGTCATTCTCGTGTTTGTCCTCATCTTCGGGAATATGGGTCGCGATTTCGATCTCGTGTTGGGTTTTGGAAGAGGTCTCACCACTCGATGACTCACTTTTGGCTCTTAATTATGCAAAAATCATTAGTCAATAAATAAGAGCCACAGGAATACCAATAATGAATTACTCACTCGACGGGACAGACATTGCCGTCATCGTCGACGTCACCCTTTTCCGTGTGTTTCTGACAATAAGACTTCAGTTTCACTCCTTTTGTTTTGTCGCTTTCGACGATAGCTTTCATTCTTAGCTTATGATTGAACGCACAGATCACGTGATACGCCGTTTTGCATGTCTTCACCTGATATTATCAACAAAATAATGAATGAATGGATGGATGTAATGAGCAAAAGTGTGGTAATGCCTACGGAGCACTGGATGGGAGCGCCCTGTTTGACGTTACAGAGGGAACAGATGAGATTCCAACGCGTTTGAGGTATTTGTTTGATTTTAGTGATCGGTTCCATTGTGGACACGCAACCGATGCTCACTTCGGGCACCCATAGGGCACACGACACGTGCGCCCATTGGTTGGAACTACTCGTGGGCTTTAAGGCACCGCCAAAATTTGGACACAAAACACACGATATATTCTTATGGGACCCGAACTTCTTGCACGGTCTGCACAGCCAATCGCCTTCGGGAATGTCGACGATGCCATAGCACGCCTGATGGACACAGATATTGCAGAGGTCGCAGAACACCATCTCATTGCCCTCTTCGGCGTCGGGACTCCGGCAGACGTCGCATATGATGTGGTCGTCGTATTCAATGCCCACCTGTCGGGCCTTTATATTTCTGGCGCATTGCTGTTCCAATTGGTTTATCACTTCCTCCAACTGGTTATCACTCATTTGTGGGCTGTTATCGCATTCACCCATCGCTTCCAACCAACACAAGTCCTGCAAATCCAACTCATAGTTGGAAGCAATTGGTTCCGATTCCGGACGACTCTATTCACACAAATCATTCAATTTTAATTCAATTCATAGTATATTCTTCGGATTCAAACCTTAATCAACTTCTTCGGCAATTTAAACGGATTATCAGTTGTCAGACATTCGCGCAAAACCTTCACCTGAGGTTCGGGTAGTATATCGGGATTGACGGCAACCTATGGTCACAACAAACACATCAATGCATACACTAATTGTCATCACATTTGCCACACTATGTCACACCTGAACCCCTTTCTCCCACTCCTCTCTCCACGAGTCAGTGATTGGCAGATATTCCTCACGATTCAGTTGTTCGGTATCCGCCATCTTCATGGCTGTAATCGACACAAAACAAAGCGAGAGATAAGTATAACTCATTTGAATAGATTTGGCGCCAAATCGTCACGTAATGACTGACCAGAGATGAGATCTTTGCGGAAGAGTTCGGCCGGTTTTTTGCGATAACCGAAGTTATAGATCCGGGATTTGTTCACAACATTCAAGTCATTCACTCGACAACAGTCTGCCGGACACCACAAGAAGTCAATTAATGCCCGAAACATCAAATCAATTCAATTATCACTGCAATTGTGGCCATAATTACCGGGTTTGAGACGTTTGGAAGCGTTGCCCTCATCCTCGCAAGTGATGGACACTTTGCTTCGACTTCTTTTGCCTGTAAATCAATTAAAAGACATTTAAAATGGGATTCAATGAAGAAATTGTTTGCGAAATCAAATGAAAGTCAGTGTAAAAGAAAGGGTCAAATGTATGGTCGGATGGCACGGACCCGATGTGCCAGCGCTCGGGCCCGAAGACGAGCTCATCGTTGAGCACCGATTGATCGCAAGAAGTGTTGGATTCACTGGATTTGTGCACAAAAATCGTTGCAAACCATCGCTCACGCCATCAGTCGATGCATTCAAAGCGCAGCCATTTTGATGGGATTTCTGTTTCGCGAAATGTTTTCAATGCTTTCAATGCATTTGACGTTCACTTCAATCCCATTCACTCTCAACGCACTCCCACTCTCTCACAAACATATTCCCCAAACATTATGAAAAACATATTTTATCATCATAAGGATGCCCTTTCACTCAATGCCACTATTGTTTCTAAACCACTAATGTCTGCAAGTATTCAATTAGTTGTATCACTGATAATGTTGTGAACTAACACTATTGTGAACTAGTTCATAAATTCATTCATGTGATTGCGGCAATATTGTCCAAATGTTGGTAACACACACATCCTAGCAGTGGATTACAGTATTCACTGATCACGTGACTCACGTGTATCAGTGAATCTCAATGAGTGACGTAATGAATGAATTATACAATAAAAGTAAACTACAGATGACTCTCGTATTGTAATTGACAGCCAATGCAAACCTAACATAACTTCCTGAATGTACACAACTTCTAAACTTTTAAACAAACTTCAGTTTTATACCTAATTTTATTATTCATTTCATTTAATTCATGTTTTATTGAAGTAATAAATGTAACATACAGTCAAATGTGTGATCAATACAAGCATTTGAATATTCAAATATTTGGGCGCTTTTTTGGCGTTCATTATAAAAAAGTTTTAAAAAAGTAATTTAAATACAATTATTGTGAACTAATTGATTGATTGGTGAATACAAACATTAACTCAACGACTGGTGGAAGTGGTGCTAAGTGTTGGAAATTAAGACATTGATTACAAGTCTTCGGAGACATAGTCCGGGTGTACGACAAGGATAGGGTCAGGAGTGGACTCTTTCTCGGCTTCAGTGCCAATTGGTTCGGGTGTTTGGAGTGCTATAAGGATGTGATCGGTATTTATAAGTTTGTCGACCACTCGATCGCAAACTAGTTTCTTGTGCACCAAATCAGCTTCAGTCTCGATGTCCTGACACTGATTCAAATACCATTCAATGAGTTCCGAGCGTTTCATACCATCGCTGTCTCCCTCCTCTATCTTCAACTCTTCCCTTTGCAGACGAATGACAAACATATTAGTTATCGATTTGTAGACATCGTAAGAGATTTTCAGAGTCGACGGCATCGTTGCGTCGGTCATGTCTTTCTGAGAGTCCGGCTCTTTGCTCATGTCCTCCATCTCCTCGTCTTCGTGGGTGTCCTCAGTGTCCACGAGATTAACGTCCGGTTCGTCTATCTTGAGGATCGACTTATTGAGGAGACGCGACGCCTCCTTAATGTGTTTGGTTTCGACGAAATCACTGCAATTCATTCGCGCCATGGCTTCGGACAATCGGATCAAAGACT